TATATGGTATACATATAGGATCATTTACATAAATCTTTAAAATAAAAGCAACCTTAAATAATTTTAAATGCTTTACGGTATTTAATTATGTTGCGAGAGTCGTAATTGGTATTGTTCTCTCGTTCTGATATTGTCTTGTACTCTACTACTTGCTTCGGAACATAGTATATTTTGTCACCTTTCATTGGTCGGTTTCAATTGTTTCTGTGCGAAAAGCAGTCTATGAGTTAAGTGACACTTTTTCTTTATCGACCCTTTTGTCGGATTTCTACCAAGCAATTTATCTTCTATTAACCCTCTTCTACTTATTTTTAACTCTTATTTCAACTATCTCTTCAGATTCGCAGCTGTCCGAGAAGTCTTTTTTTTTTGGCTATGCCGTACTAATCAGGTTGCAATTTGTGATCATAATGGACTCTCTTTTGCGAGTGTCTTTTTTGTTCACAACTTTCAACGTATTTGAAATAATTTTAGCTGAACAACCGATCAAGTTTAAATTTGTTTTTCAAATTTTAATTCTTTTTCAAATTAATTTTTTTAAATCCATTTTATTAATTTTTATTTGTTCTTTTTTTAATTTTTAATTTTTTTTATTTTTAATTTTTATTTTTTTGTTTTTAATTTATATTTTTTTATTTTTAATTTTTTTATTTTTAATTTTTTTTTAATTTTTTTCTAATAAATTTTTCAACAAACTATTTAAAGCTACGAGCCTAGTAAAGCCAGATTATTGAGAAAGTATTTCAAGCAACATCATATCGAATGTAATACAATACACAGAACGTTTTAGGATTAGATATTGATTCTCTCATTCAGAAAAACTTTTGTATAAGGCAATATGATCTAATACTCCGATTTCGATGGTTTGCCATGACAAACTTTATTTGTAGACGCGCTCTTAGACACTTCATTGAAGTAGTTGATGCCCGAAACCTCATAACTAAGCGAATCGGGGCCATGGGGCCACAAGTTATAGTGATCCGATCTGGTCGGTTCCGAAAGATAATGTATGGATGTACGTACATACATATATACCCATAGACTCCGAAATTACTGAACCGATTTTGTTCAAATTTTCAAGAAATTTTCATTTGTTTGAATATTTTTAAAACCCCCCTTCCAAAAAACTAAAATTCAGAAAAGTTTTATTTTCTATTTTTCGATTTACTTGAGATTTGATACACCTTGGTTAAGACAAGGACATATTTTTCTTCCGGAAAGTGTACCTCGACCAGATCTATGCCATTTATATATATATATATATGGTTTGGTTTATAAGTGGTTCACAGATACCGATTTTATTGAGACAAATATTTTTATGATGAATTTTATTGATTTTGGTTTAAGTTATGTTCTTGTGTAGGCAAACAATGGGTTGAAATGCCCAGAGGGCAAGTTCGAATTTTTTTTTCTAATTTAGAGTTAGGTCTAGTACTTTCACTGCTATTATTTTCACCGCAGCTGTACATATTTATTATTTAAAATAAAAATATTAAATAAACAATTTTCTATTATATTATGTGAAAGTGTCGTTGTATGAACATACATACGTGCATACATATATAATCTACAAGTGCGCTTAGTACATACTCGTAAATAGAATTATACATATAAATGTACATATATACATAAGTACATACGTTTATACATATTATACTTACAAAACTAGTGTGTTTTTATGTCTTCCAGCATAAGCTTCTTTCTTTTTCCATATAGTCAGCTTATTGAATCTAATTATTTTACAAGTACAAAATTCTATACATACGTACATATATATGTACACATATAAGTTTATTTATGGCCTTTACTATATTTAATACATTTTTACCTTATCTTAATTAATCGGTATGTTCGTCGTATTCAATAATTTTCTACTAATTGAGACACACTTTTTTCACTAAAAATCAATAAATAAGTAAAAGTTATTTAAACTATTTATTGGAATTGGAAATTATGGTTAGCTACAACATACATACGTATATCTCCGTCTAGATAGGCTTAAAAATGTACATACAAATGTACATAAGCAGTTTTTAGCCTCTATTTCTTTTGTTTTAATTCATAAAAACAGAATTTATTTATTTTATTATATGCTTTTGGTTTGTGTACTAAGCTTAATTATGTAGTTATGTATAGTATATTTTTGGAAATTTATCTATAATATGTATATATAGTTAGGCATCCACCATATATATGTAAATACATATATATTTTGTATGTGTGTTAATGAATTAATGCTGAACATAATAATACAAGTGATTACTAAAAAGGAAAAATACATGAAACATGTACATATGTATGTATATAAGTGTATATATTGAACATAGAAAATGTGAAAATTGCATATCCTTTAAGGGGTGATGCTGTGCGTTTATGTTAAATTAAATATTCATAAGCGTATAGCTTTTCCCCTTAAATGTTATAGCTCGGACAACAATAAATTAGTAAAACGAAAAAAAAGGTAAGGTGTGAATAACTAAAAGTCGTAGCTTTTTCATTATACAGATTTTTGAAAATATTTTAGATAAAAAGTAAGATTATCCTAACATATTTGATTAAGCTAAACCGTATTATACAGGCCTATTCTCACTGTTACCGGTAAAGTAAATTTTGTTACTTTCCTTAACACCCGAAATTGAATTTGGTATTCTGGCGAACTGTTTACAATGTTTGAAAAAAATTTGGCAGCAATGTTTTTTTCGTCCATGTCAAATTACATTTGCCAGTTGATAAAGTAAAAATAAAAATATTCACATCGTATTCGAAGACGGTGCACAAAAAAATTAAAAAGTTTTATTAATTTGTTTATTAATTCATAAATATTTGAACCTAATTATGGAAAATATTCCTGGACAACAAAAAAAGCTGAATGAAAACCTTATCTTACAAATTAAAGGGCTATTTTTTAGTTTCGAAAACATCTTTTAAAAATACGGGTTTTTGCACATTTTTTCTTCATCTTCAATGCATTTCAGGCCTTAAATATGCCTACCCATTTTGATTTTTTATTTTTTTTCTCAAACTTCCAACACAAAATCAAACAGCAGATATTTTTGTTACCTTCTATTTCGCTGGTAACAAAATTTGCAGGGTAACAGTGAGCTCAGAATACGAAATGGTAACAAAATTTACTGAATGGTAACTTTTAATACCGAGGTAAATTTTTTAATCTCGACAGAATAGGCCTGATAATAACTAAATACATTTCGACAATATCTTTTTGAAGTCTATATGCTTTTTCCTAAATTATTGTATGAGTGAAAATATTCAAAATTACTATAAGAAAAAATTAAAATAAAAAAAATTAAATTAAATTAAAATTTTTTTTTTTTAACAAATCCAGCTTTTCTTGTTTTTCACTTACAATAAAATTTACGCAAAAAGTAGTTTTATGAGTTAGTATAGAAGATTTCAGAAGGTGTTTAAGTAAAATATAGTTATTAAAAACCCATAATTCTATATTCATTCGGCGGATTGAAAATTACCAAAAATCACAAAAATTTACAAATGCTGCCTAGTTGGATTAACATCATTACTTTTTATATTTTTCGAAAAAACAAAAAAAAAATTGTTTTTAACTATGATAAATTGAACATTTAAATGGATTATATGCTATATTTTTGTATGTTGAAGCACACAATCTTCGAAAGTCTGTTCTTTTTTTATTCGAAAAACTGTTAAAAAATTCTTTCTTTAATTTTAATCACTCGGAGAAAGGTCTAGATTGCAGGATGGGTTATTCAAAATATCGTAGCCAAACTTTTGCGAATGCAACGAGACTTATGGGCATGCTTATTGTCGTGGAAAAACAGCACACCATTCTCCGCCCTTTTTTAGTCCCGTATTTAGTTGATATAATGTTGAAGCGTTGCACCTTTATCTTTATAAATGATCAATAATATTCCTTCTGTACTCAAAAAAAAAAAAATTTTGCTTTCTACGAGTTTCCCAGCTGTCTGGGACACCCCAAACTTCTTGGACTTTCTTTTTATACCACTGCATGGTGTCTTGTTGGACTTATGTGCATAAGTATAAATCTAAGTTTGGTTCCAGTATCAATTCAATACCAAAACCATTCTTCCCTACATTGAAAATGTCAAAAAAAAAATACGTGCTTCACGAGTGTCGTTCTGCGGAAGCATGAGTATTCGCGCGAGCAATCTTGCAGTAACATTGGCCATTCCAAGATGATCCTGCAGAATTAAAAAAAAATGGTTATATTGTTTACTCCAAGCATTTCTGCGAGTTGTTTTTTTTGTCAGTTCAGCATCTGCGAGAAAAATTTTTTAAGCTGTGGCGTGGTCACCTAAATGCTTCTGCGTGGGTTCGGGACCTCTGCAAGGAATTTCTTTGCTTGTTTAAATAAAATGTGTCGATTGCACAAAATGGCTTTTCCCTTACAAGAGTCGCCGTAAGCCAGTGACATCTCAGCCATTAAGGTCCTTGCCTTGGCTGGGGATGGCTTGAAGGGTAGACTAATTGTTTGATAACAATGAAACCTCTAATTTATAGTAATTTTGACTCATTGAACACTTCAAGGGCCTAATCACAACACTCTTATTTCGCCAACATAAAATCGCTCCGTATTAACTTTGAGGAACTTTTATTTTTTGCAAAAGTTTTTGTGGGCTATAATAATAATATAATAAAAATAAAAATATTGAGACAGATAAAAACTTTCTCCTTGCAAATGTTCTACATATGCACGCATACCGAGGGGGAAACTATTTACTTATTATAAATTAATTGTAATTGTCAATTTATATTAATTTTTTTTTTACTTTTGCTAATAAATATTTTTTCTTTTCTCTTGCAGATATCGACTAATAAACAAACATACTTCAAATGTGTATAGAACGCTAAGCGATTCTACAAATTCACTGAAATACCGTTTACGCAAATACACACATACATACATATATGGAATTCTTCTTCAAAGTTTATAAGTTTAAACTTTTCCCTAATTTTAATTGAGACTATTTTTGTTTTTCTTCCTTCAGCATTGAATGATAAGTAACTGCTTAAAAATGTCAAAGGTCCTGTCAACTTTGTTTACATTGGAAAATAATCTCAAGCTAATCGCTCATGAACATTTTATGAATAAATATTAAACAATAGATATTTGAACAAAGTGAAAAACAGAACACGTTGAATACCAAAAAGAAAAATATATAATAAAAATAACGCGAATAAAACCGTGAGAGAGCGCTAGAGAGAGAAAAGAAGACACACACATATGTCGATACTATAATTATAAAGAGCGAAGTGTGTAAAATTAATGCATTGCCATACTAAAGTCGGCAATTAAATATTTGGAAAGAGGGCAAGAGGAACCACCCAGACTCCCATATTACACCTAAAAGGAAAAGTGTGAAAACCAAGATTTTAATAATTTTTGTCGAATAAACACACATTCACACATACATACACACACACACAAAATAGCTTCCTTCTACCACCACCACCAGTTGGCGGAACGGATTATTTAAAAAAAAAATTTAATGCAATTTTTAAACGGATGAGCTTATCTCTACTAAAAGGAGTGAGTGTTGAACGATTTGCAAAAATTGCAAACAGAATCGATCAACAGGCTCCGAACTGCGCTTGTGTACCACGTAAATTGCAGAGAATTGTTTAAATTGCAAGAAACGTGGTAGAGAAAGGGTTTTGATTTTTCACGTTGAAAACATCAGATGGATGGAAATGCACAAAATATGTTTCACGGAAATCACCAAGGGTAAGTTCATACTCAGTTTCATTTTCAATATACATTATTTAATTAATTATGCTCCTCTTGATTTTGTAGAGACCCATACTATCGGTATGATCCCACAGCTGCTGCAGCAGCAGCGGCGGCGGCCACACCGCGTGCGATGGGACCGCCGGGCGCTTATCCACCTCGTCATCGGGCTCCGCATCCACTGCAACAACAAAGCCAATATCCAACGTATCAACCGGCAGCGGATAACATCTATGGATTGGCCGGTGCTGACCAGCACAGCCTTGGCATGGGCGACCTAGGTGGCTGGGGTGCAGCGCCAAGCCAAGCTGGCCCATATCCAGGATCCGGCCTGAGCGCCTATGGTCATCCTCAAGCAGCACCGCCAACGCAACAACGACAACCGACAGCACAGCCAAGGTAAGACTGTCGAGCTATACGCACCTACATATGCATATTGAAAGAAATTGTTAGTAATAAGAAATTAATCGTATTTCCACTCTTTTTACTCTTTTACAGTTATCGCCAACACATGCCAACTTATGGTCAACAGGAGCAGCAAAAGCTATCGTATGCCACTCAACAAATGGGCATCAGTGGATTAATGCAACAAACCGGTGCGAATGTTAGTACTGCAGGATACGGCGCTTTGTCACAGACACAACAACCACAGCAGCAACAACAAGCGCCTACGCCACAACAACAACAGCAGCAGCAGCAGCAGCCGAATCAGCAGCAGAGTCGGTTGCCGCAACATTACCCGCAAGCACCGGGCCAGCATCCACTATATCCAGTTGCACCGACATCAACGGGCGGACAGACAGGTTCTTCTGTGCCAGTGCCAGGCGGTCCACAGGGCTATACTCACAGTCCATATGGCAATCCTATGCAACATCAAACGGGTCGTGCAGCGCAACATGTGCCCTACGGGCATTTGGATCAGACAAATCCTTATGTCCAGCACGTGCCAACATCGGCTGCACCGGGTAGTGTACCAACACATCATCTAACTGCACAGCAGCAGCAGGCTGGACAGTTAGGTGCACACGCACCACCACATATGGGTCCTGGTCAACAGCAGCAACAGCAGCCGCAACAACAACAGACCCCAACTGGTTTGTCACATGGCAGCAACGCTGTATCAGTTCAGTCATCGCTGCCACCAGGCTTGGGTGCGACACAGCAGCAGCAACAGGCAGCCACGCATATGTTACAGGCTCAACAACAGCCGCAACAGTTACAACAGCAGCAGCAGCAACAACAACAACAACAAAACCACGTCGGCCTGATACAGCCGCCAGGGCAACATCAGCAACTTCCAGGTGCGGGCTTACCACCAGCGCACAGTATAGGCGTGCCGCCTAGCTACAGTAGTCATCATCAACAGCAGCAACAACAACAACAACAACAACAGCAGCAACAACAACAACAGAATCAACAACAGCAAAGTAGTGTACAATCCGCAGCAGCATCATACTTGTCCACAGCTAAACATCAGGCGCCTTCATCACAGCTCTCCTCATCCCCACAATACCGTGCACCGTTTCCCCAGCTATCGCCACAAATGTCACCGCGCCCTCCGACAATGTCGCCACATCCGCAAATGTCTCCACGGCCTGGCATGTCGCCAGCTAAACCACCAACACAGTCTCAGCAGCAAGCTCAAGTGCAAACACAGCAACAAGTTAATTCACCCAGTCAACAACCGCCGACGCATCATAGCATATCCGGTATGGTTGGCCTTGCACCTCAGCGTCCACAACTACCGAACACTGGACCACCGAGCTCAAAGACGAGTGGTGGTGGTAGTGGTGGAGGTCCACCAGTTGTTAATACATTACAAGCACTTGAACAGATGGTTATGCCAACGCAAGGTGTTATGTCCGGTCCGGGTGGTTTACCGATGGACTACCCTTCGGCTTATCGACAGGCATCTAGCCATGCAACAATGTCACCGATGGGACCACGCATGCCGGTTTCACCACAACATCATCTGCAGTGGAGCCCACATTTGGGTTTGCCACAGCCACAAAACCCACCCACATTGAGTGTGAATAGTGGCCTGAGCGCACAATCGCAGTTGCAGCACCAACAACAACAAATGAATTTGTATGCTCAGGCACAGGGTATGACTCACCAGCAACCACCATCTGGCCATCCGTCTGCGATTGGGGCAGTGCAACAACAGCAGCAGCAGCAACAGCCACCGCAGCAACAACAAGCGCAGCCACCACCGCCACAACAGCAACCCCAACATCAGCAATTGAATGAACAATTACAGCATTCCATTAATGATATTGTGGGTAGTGGTCATCAGCAGCCGCACCAGCAGCAACAACAACAACAACAACAACAATTGCAGCAACAGCAGTTGCCGTCTATGTCCCCAATGCATACTCAACAGCAACAGCAGCAAACACCACAACAGGTGACGCCATCTACGCAACAACAGCCACAACAGTTGCATCATCAACAACCAACTTTGCCCAGTATCCATCACTTGGGCCATCATCAGTTGCCGCCGGCAACTGATCACACCACTGCTTCGCTCATGAGTAGGAGCGCGACCTCGCATGATCCCACAATAGGGGGTATACCGACATCTCAGGCCCAGCAGCAGCAGCAGCAACAACAACCGCCTCATACTCAACCGCAATTACAGCAACAACCGTCGCCCCATCAACAGCAACAACCATCGCCACATCAACAGCAGCAACCATCACCACTTCAACAGGCAATGCTCCAACAGCAGTCTCCCAGACATCACCCACAATTGTCGCCACATAATCCACCACCCCCGCCCCAGCAACAGTTGCACCAACCATATCAACAGCAACAGCAACACAACCAACATCAACTGCTTGGGGATCCATTTGCTGCCATGTTGACAGCCACGCAAGAGCCACCGACGAGTCTGCAGGCTGGGCTACAGCAACAACAGCAACAGCAAATAACGCAATTGGAGGCACCGCCAACGGCAAGCCAGAGTCAAGCTCAGGCGCAAGCTCAGGCTCAAATGCCGTCACAAGCCCAACCACCCCAACAACAGCAGCAGCAGCAACAAATGCCGCAACTTCAACAACAACAGCAGCAGCAGCAACAACAACAACAACAACAACAGTTGACACAACTTCAGCAACAGCAACAACAGCAGCAGCAGCCAACCCAGCGTGAAGCACAGCAGCCAATTGTGCAATCGATTATGTCACCAGCGCATATTTCATCGCCCATTGCGTCCACGCCGATCATAACCACGCAACAACAACACCAACAAGAACAACAACAACAAAATCAGCAGCAACAAATGCAGAATCAAACACTGCCAATCTCGCAGCAGAAACAGCAACCACTCCAACAACCACCAACACCAACTTCGACACCGTCTCACCATTTGGCCAACATTCTTAACGAGACAGCCAACTCGAACGACTCCTCCACACTAGCCGTGGCAGCAAATGACAGCAACAATAGCAGTAGTAACAGTTCAACCAATAGCATCGTTAATAATCAGCCCACCTCAGTGCACGATAGCAATTCACAGAGCTCCATCAACAGCAGTAATCATCAGCAGCAATCCATGTCGGGCATTGATAGTCTCGGTAATGCAGTGTTGAATAGCAATTCCAATTCAGCTACTGCCACAGGTCATAGTGGCCTGTTAGACAGCGCTGGCGCTAGCCTTTTTGACAACAATTCTATGTCTTCGACTAGCGCCGCCGTAGCAGCAGCGTCTTCCGCTGCTTCGGCAGCTGCAGCTATGCTTGATAGCAATTCACAGTCATCATTCATAGGCGCATCCACAAGCGGTAATGAATTCGATAGCGCCAGCAAGGTGCCTCAGCAAATTCTGGAACATAACAATGAGCCCGAAGATGCACCGTCGCTGCCACCTACAGTCGAGGTAGGAACGCAGGAACAAACGACTGACAATGGTTTCAAAACAAATGACTCAAGTGCCGAAATCATAAAACCGGCTGAGGAGGAAAGCACTCTTCTCAAGTCTGCCGATGAAGAACTGCTTGATGACAGAATGAAGATTTCCGATACCACATTACCTGATGTGCTGTTGGAGCAAGCTAAGTGTTCGGAGGAGACCCTATCCGCCACCGAAACCGAACCGCAAACAAGTGGCAGCGAACAAACGTCCGTACAGTCGTCGGCCCCAACGTCAGAACCAGCTCCGATTCAGACACTGTTACCAACAGTGCCGACAACCGCAGCAGATGATACTATAACCCAAATTACTGCAGCGTCAGGCCAAACTGTTGCAACGATGCCACCGGTGTCCAACGCGCAACCACAACCGCAACCAACATTTCCAACAGTGCAACCTCAATTGCCAACAATGCTGCCACCTGGCATGTTACCACATCATCCGTTGGCAAACACGCCGGGCTTGACTGCTTTGGGCTATGATGGCGCACAACAAATAATGTTACCACCATATGGCGCACCGGTGCCGCCACCCGGACACATGTATCCACCGTTCCCAATACTGCACCAACAAGAAATTGCAGCCTTGCAACAACAACTACAAGAAATGTACTGTATGCCACCGACAGGTCCGGATCATCAAGAGAAGATTATGCGTCTACAGGAACGTTTGAATATGTTGCAGCAACATGAGGTGAACGATCAATGTACCGGCGCTGGTTCACAATGTGTGCTCTACCAAAGCGGTGTCATGCCACCCATGTATGGCAGCGCCAGTCTCATGCACAGCCAAATGATGGTGGAAAGTCCACAGGTGTCAAGTACTACTGGTCGAGGACGTGGCAAGAGCGCGACAAAGCCGCGTAAACCACGCACCAAAAAAGGTGAAAAGGCCGCTTTACAACAATTACAACAGCCCACCAGCGATATTATGGATATAAGTGGCAATATTGTGCCCGCTGGTGTGATTCCGACCACACAGCTGCCCGTTTCAGAGGATTGTGTGACACAAGGTGCCGGTGACACCTCGGTTGTGGGTATGATTGAGTATAATGAAGGTAGCGGCGAGCACTCACAAGATATTGTGCACTCGGCTAATGAGCTAGACACGTCTACCGATGATGCTGGAAAGAAAAAGAAACCCCCACGTAGACCACGTGCACCAAGAGATCCAAATAAGCCACCACGTGATCGCACGCCAAAAGCGAAAAAGCTAAAAGATGGCGAACTCAACTCGAGTGAATCGTTAGCTTCAATACGCCGTCGCAGTAATGCAAAGAAGAAGAAGAATGGTGAGGAGGAAGACAAGGCAGATGGCAGTGAAGCTGAGGATAATAAACCACTTTCGGTGTGTAAATCAGATGCCGCAGAGCAAAATGCTGCCAATGACAACGGTGATGACGGCGGAAATAAGCCAGAAACTACAACAAACGACGAACCTGGTAACGCACCCAAACCGACCAACATCGATGGCGATGCGCCTGACTACGACGATATACCAGTTTCGAAAATTCCTACAACGCGCCCCAATAATGATGAAGAAAAGACCGAGGCTGGCGATGAAACAATTGATTCTGTGCCCGATTCTGCGGGCGATGCGACAACCACACCAAGTCGCCGTAGTAATAAAAAACGCTCCGGTGGACGTAATCGAGGTAATAACAGTGATGACGCCACTTACACTACGCGTCGCCGAGGCACACTATCTGCACGCGCACTAAAGAAGCGTCGAAATCGAGGACGAATTGTGCCTGAATCTGATGGTGAAGATGACACGTTGGCTAGTACACCGCCACCCTCTCCTCCACCGGACTCCGAAACCGACACGAACAAGCGTCGATCTTCCCGTAACACACAGCGAAAGAAATACATTGACGATGTTATGTTACGTTTTTCCGATGATGAGTCGTCCTTGATGACATCGCCGGTTAAGAAAGAAAAGAAAAGTTCAGCAGCTACTGCAGCAGCTGCGGCGGCGGCGGCGGCAGCAGCAGCAGCAGCAACAACAACAGCAGCCGCCGCTGCTCCAGCAAACAGTGATGCCGACAAGGCCGATGCCAGTGCAGCGAACTCCATTGCTGAAGGTGAAATTGTTGGTACCGATGAGAAAGCAGCAGGTGAAATAGAAGACGGTACTGCTACTGAAGCGAGCTCTAGCACGGCTAATGAGAAGGAGAAAATTGTGGAAGCACCGGCACCGATATCGTCGAAACCAAACTACGTTTATATCAATACCGGTGATGAGGACAGTATGGTGGTGCAGTACGTGTTGGCGGTGCGCATGGGCAGAAGAGAATTAATACCGGATCCACCACCAGCACCGCCCAAAGAAGACAAAAATGAAGAGATTGACGAACCTGAAGACAAGAAGAATGATGGAGAAGAAAAAACAGAAGAGGCTGATAAAACGAAGACGGATGAAGAAGTAAAAGATGAAAATGACAAGCCTGTAGAGGAAACCAAAGCGGAAGGGGATGCTGATAACTTGGATAAGGAAAGTGAAAAGACTGAATCCAATAAAAAAAATGTAGAAGATGAAAATAATGCGGAAAAAATGGAAATAGACGAAAATTTGGAAAACACAGCGTCAGATGAATGCAAAGATGTTGCAGCAACAGAAAAAGAAAGCGAAGATCCTACTCCAGAAACTTTGAAGAACGAAGTAGCTCCAGATGAAGTTAAGAAAGATGACAGTGATACCGTTAAAAATGAAGATGACAAGAAAGAGGAAGTAAATCCTGAAAACGAAACTGAGAAAGAAAAGGAAATTATCGAAGATGAATCTACAAAAGTAAACGCTGAAAAATTAGATACAGCAGAAACCAAAATGACAGAAGCGAAAAGTGAGCCTGTACCAGAGAGTACAGACAATGTGGAGAAAATGGATGTTGATCCAGTAGATGAAACCGCCACGGCCACCGCCACCGCTACGGCTGAGTCAGAGTCAAACGAGAAAGGAGATGAAATCACAGTTAAAGAGCCAAAAGAAGACGAAACTGTAACCACGTCTGAAAAGGACAACACTGCAGAGGCAGATAAAGACATATATACTGAAAAGAGTGAAGAGAATGAGGGTGAAACAGATAAAAAAGATAAAAACGATACAGATGATACAGAAAATAAGGAAGATAAGGATGATAAAGATGATAAAGAAGATAAGGATGACAAAGAAAAGGATGATGATGCAAGTAGAGATGCCGACACCACTAAACCTGAACCTGTTTTCATTGAAGTCGAAGAATTTTTCGTAAAATATCGTAACTTCTCTTACCTTCATTGCGAGTGGCGCACCGAAGAGGAACTTTTCAAAGGTGATCGCCGTGTAACTGCCAAGATACGTCGTTTCCAACAAAAACAAGCTCAACAAATGAACATATTCGATAGCATCGAGGAGGAACCCTTCAATCCTGATTTCGTAGAAGTCGATCGTGTGCTGGACATGTCTGTGCACACCGACGAAAATTCAGGCGAGACAACAAAGCATTATTTAGTTAAATGGAAGTCTTTGCCATACGAAGATTGCACATGGGAATTGGAAGAGGACGTAGATGCTGATAAAATTGAGCAATATATGCGTTTCAATAAATTACCACCACGTGCGGAGTGGAAGAACAAGAAACGACCGAACCCGGAGCTGTGGAAGAAACTTGAAAAGACGCCTGTCTATAAAGGGGGCAACACATTGCGTCCCTATCAGTTGGAAGGTTTAAATTGGTTAAAATTCTCATGGTACAACTCTCATAACTGTATCCTGGCCGATGAAATGGGTCTGGGCAAGACTATACAGAGTTTAACATTTGTGCATTCCGTATATGAGTATGGTATACGAGGACCGTTCCTCGTCATTGCGCCACTGTCCACCATACCAAATTGGCAGCGTGAATTCGAGGGCTGGACAGATATGAATATTGTAGTTTACCATGGCTCTGTAACGAGTAAACAAATGATACAGGACTATGAATTCTATTATAAGACCGAAAGTGGTAAGGTACTGAAGGAACCAGTCAAATTTAATGTACTAATTACAACATTCGAAATGATTGTTACCGATCACATGGACCTAAAGACCTTTAATTGGCGTCTATGTGTTATTGACGAGGCGCATCGCTTGAAGAATCGCAATTGCAAACTGTTAGAAGGCCTACGGCAATTGAATTTAGAACATCGTGTGCTGCTATCTGGTACGCCGTTGCAAAACAACATAAGCGAATTGTTTTCCCTGTTGAATTTCCTTGAGCCCAATCAATTTTCATGTCCGGAGGAGTTCATGTCCGAATTCGGCAGTTTGCATACCGAAGAGGAAGTGAATAAATTGCAAGCTTTATTGAAGCCGATGATGTTGCGTCGTCTTAAAGATGATGTAGAAAAGTCGCTTGCGCCCAAAGAGGAGACCATCATCGAAGTCGAACTTACAAACATACAAAAGAAATACTATCGTGGTATTTTGGAACAGAACTTTTCTTTCCTCAAAAAAGGCACCACCTCAGCGAACATCCCTAATTTGATGAACACTATGATGGAGTTGCGTAAATGCTGCATACATCCTTATCTACTGAACGGCGCCGAGGAGCAGATACAATACGATTTTCGTGCACAACACGGCGATGATCCCGAGTCATATTACAAAAATCTCATACAGTCGGCTGGTAAAATGGTGTTGATTGACAAATTGCTGCCAAAACTGAAAGCGAACGGCCATCGCGTCTTGATTTTCAGTCAGATGGTACGTTGTCTCGACATTTTAGAAGACTACTTGGTTTATCGCAAATATCCATTCGAGCGTATTGACGGTCGCATACGTGGTAATTTGCGTCAGGAAGCCATCGATCGTTACTCCAAGCCTGGTTCAGATCGTTTCGTATTTCTGCTGTGCACAAAAGCTGGGGGTTTGGGCATCAATTTGACCGCTGCTGATACAGTAATTATATATGATTCCGATTGGAATCCACAAAACGATTTACAGGCACAAGCACGTTGTCATCGTATCGGTCAACGTAAAATGGTCAAGATTTATCGTCTGCTCTGCCGTAACACATACGAACGTGAAATGTTCGACAAGGCATCACTCAAATTGGGCTTGGACAAGGCGGTATTACAGTCAATGAATACAAATAACTCCAAGGATGGCAGTAATCGACAAATGTCTAAAAAAGAAATTGAAGATTTGCTACGCAAAGGCGCTTATGGCGCTGTTATGGACGATGATAATGCTGGTGATAAGTTTTGCGAAGAAGATATTGATTCAATATTGAAACGTCGCACTCAAGTTATTACAATGGAGTCTGAAAAGGGTTCAACATTTTCGAAAGCTTCATTTGCTGCTTCCGGCAATCGTTCGGATATTAAAATCGACGATCCAGATTTCTGGACAAAGTGGGCTAAGAAAGCGGATATTGATCCTGATGCCTGTGAACGTGACGAAACGGAAGATCTTGTGTTGTCAGAGCCTAGACGGCGCACACAAATAAAACGTTACGGGCATGAGGATGTAATGGAAATCAATTCGGACGACTCTTCGAATGACAATAGCGATGAAGAGGGTGGCATAAGTAAGTATGATGTGATTGAATGAGGGTCTTATGCATCGCCTTTCTTTATTTGAATTTACAACAGTTAGCACTAGATCAAGAAAAAATGGGCTTAATATAGATAGGTTAAAGACTTAATTTCCACTACACTATCTACGATACTACTGTCGTGTCGTACTAACATCTAAAAACTAATAGAAAATTCAATTATTGTAGATAAAAAATTAGGTTAAATTTTCTAATTGCGGCCGCCCCTCGGCAGGGAATGTCAAACCCTCCGAGTGAGCTGGCATGAAAATTAAAAGCTCCTCATAAAACACCATGAGCCGTTCGGAAGGCGCTTAATATAAACTGTAGGTCCCTACATTTGTTGGGAAATAAAAAAACATCAAGACGTAAAACCACAAATCGGATGAGGAGCTCGGCCGAAAATAGCTTCAGCGGTTACATCGTCCGTTAGCTTAGATGCTTGTCTCATTGTGTCGCTAGTATTTCCTCATTTCTTAGCACCTCCCTCCAAAATCTGTATATTCACGAACCCAAGTGAGCCGATCTTAGTTGCGTTCAATCACTCCCGTACCATTTACGATTTAATTGTTGTTGATGATGAATTACTATATGTTGATTAAAGTCTTCCTTTTGAGTATGATATCTGCGCATGATGGCATATTTCCCCATTGGTATCGAAAGCCTTGTTTACAGTAGTATCGTGTCTCTAATATATCCTTACAAAGACCTCAAAACCTGAAGAACTAGTTTAGGTTAAAAATGCTCTTTTTTTTAGATAATTTAAATTAGTTAAGGTTTGTATTTTGAGTCAATTAAAATCAATTTGTAAGGTAGTGTATTTCTAGCTTCACGGCCCTAAATTAATAATAATTATTCCTTCCTACAAACATTAATGAATATATTTATTAATTATTCAATTTTAAGGTTTGCGTTCAAGACGTCGCAAAGAGAAACGTATGCGCGAGCGAGAACGTGAAAAGAAGACTAGCATCAATGATGAATACATACCAAGGGAGCGTGACGCCCTAGCCTCGCTGGGCTTGGATGAAATACAGTATGGCAATTGGGCCAAGTCCGAGTGCTTCAAAGTGGAGAAAGGTCTACTATCTTTTGGGTAAGTTTTAATCACTAATGCTTGTTTCTTAATCTTTGTTAATCATATTTTATATTATAGATTTGCAAAAAAAAATATACAATAGTTTTAATAATAAGTATGTTTTTTTTCGTGCGCAACACTACATTTTTGTGCAACGCTTGTATACGTTATTTAATTTCATATTTAATATGTAAATTTTTCGTTGCAACATTTTTTCCTCCTTCTCCAACACCAGCAGTTCATCTTTTTTTTCAACATATTGATTTACGCTAGGCGCCTGATAACGTTCCAATTGTTCCTTTAGCGCCTGCAGCACTTTCAACTCCTTTTTATTCTCCTCCTCCACAGCTTTAGCCTCTTTCTCCAGCTGAGAAACATTCTTAATCACATCGATTGTTTTATTTGCAATTGATTTCGATTCTTCTTCAATATTCATCATGATTTGCTTCTCTTCGGACATGGCTAACGAAGCTTTGCCTGTGACGCTCTTTAGCCCAGCCATATGTGCGTTCTTCTCATCAAGTGAGTTGAGTAATTCATTTCGTTTTATCATCAGTTGCTCAAAGTCCACAGCGCTCAATATACCGCTTAGATCGGATTTGGTAATCAAATCACTTCGTAGTTGTTGGCAATTTTCATGTAAAGCTGTGATGCGCAGGCGCATTGTGCTCAACAGCGCCCGAGCATTTTTGAGCCAATTGTTGACAAATTTTTTAAATTTACGCTCGATTTGTTTCTCGCCAGCTGTCTCCAGAAAAGCAACATCCCGTTCATCTTTGAGGAAGTGTAGTTGAAAATTTTTGATTGTCTCCACGGTTTCATCATGTCGAAATTGTAGCTCCTCAATGCGTGCATTGAGCAATTTAATTGTTTGCATTGCTAGAATCAAATATTTTTAGCTGATTTCAATTTTTTCAAAATCATTTGATTCATACCTTTAGATTCTATATCATTTACACGCTTTTCAACCTCGGTTGTCGCTTTCTCCGCCATATCACATTTGGATTTGTAGTTGAGTCGATACTCAAGTTGTCCGGTATGCATACCAAGCGGTCCTTTCTTCGACGCACCCGTCCAGTTTGATTGACTTGTATTGTACATGGAGACAGTTTCAGAGGGTCTCGAACCAATCGAACGCCTCGGTGTTGCCGTCGATAGTCGTGCGCTGCCGCCAGAGCTGGGTGTGGTTGTAACGCGTCGCTGCAATGATGCTGTCATACGTCTGGTCTTTAGGCCAATCAACATTTTCGGATCATTACGTTCGAGAAAATCTGTTAGAAAATGATTTTCCAACTTGACTACAGCCAATTCACGATTGATTTCTTGCACGGCCATGAACATGTCCAAGGCATCAAACCGTTCCAAATATTCAATTCTCTCTTCGTCATTCATCAAACGATATACATCTAATTGTAGATTGTTGATAAACGTTTCCAGAGTGAATTCGTCAGCGGTGTTTTCGGTTGGTTGAAACGGTGATCTGACACGCATATCCAGACCGTTCAGCTGGGCGATGTTGTTATCACCTTCCGACTTTGTTAAAGACATTATTTTGATGTGGGGTTTTAAGTTGTTTTACGTGAGGTTATCGCTTGGACGGAGAGAATTAAATTTTGCTTTTATTTTATTAATTAATTTTTTTTTTTTTGAAAATTCAATTCGAAGAGAATTTTTTTTTGCACAAGTACAGTGCTCTCTTGAGTTTTTTTTTATAAATTTCTTCAGAAACGTATAAATATGGTGGTGTTGTTGTTTTAACCGTTGCTATTAAAAAGAAATTAGTATAATCTTAAATTTAATTATTATTGTTGCTGTTAAAAATGATGACCAACCATGCTAATATTGAGAGAACTTTAGGTTTTCGCTGAGTAAAACTATCTTCTCAACCACTGATTGCATTTTAACAGCAAAAAAATACTAATATATACCAGGAAAAACTATATTAATAAGCAATGACTATTTATTAATTTATATTCTTTCCATTATACTCTCTCTCTCTCTGGCGCACTATAGGTGGGGTCGTTGGCCGGAAATTCTGGAATTGGGACAATTTAAACGCGGTTGGCGTGAAATGGATGTCGAAGATTGTGCCAGAATTATTGTAAGTAAAACTTATTAAAATTTAAACAATTCTACTAAATACATAAATCTATACAAATAAATTTTTTACAGTTACTCTACTGTCTGCAAGTCTATAAGGGCGATGAGAAGATCAAAAATTTCATTTGGGATCTAATAACACCTACCGAAGATGGTGAAGTGCAGAAGATTAGCAGGGATCATAGTGGCCTTCATAATTTGGTGCCACGAGGTAGGAATGCAAAAGGTATGGTAAAAAGATACAAACACGCACTCTAATTGCACGGATGTAGTTAAAGGCGCGCATATGCGCATGCACGCACGCTCAAACCAGTAATCTATACAACAACAACAACAACAAATTACCTGAAATACTTATTTGCATTTACATTTAAGCAACTGCTGAAATATGGACTACTCCTCCTTGAATATCCTTATATGAGAGAGATTAAAAACAGTCACTTGTGTATGCAATGCGTAAGGGTGGTAGCGGTGTATAAGCTTTGAACTACTACTTCTACTTCAAAATTAGTAAATGATAAATAAATTTGCGTACAAAATGCATAAGTAAATTAAATTGATAATTTGAATTTGGCTCAATTGAGCACGCAATGATTCATATAAAACAATGCAAAAATATTTTGTGTGTGTTTGTATGTGAATTGCCAAAAATCCCAATTTTCTACTTATATGCATTTTTTACTTCTGCCTAGAAGTCAAGTAACTTAAATTCAATAATTGAAAGATGTGCGTGTTTAGTTTCTTTAATATTTGAAAGCTATTTTATTTTAAATATAAAAACTTGTATAAATAAGTAAAATAAATATGGCGTATAATGCAGTAGACTTGTTGATGTAGACGATATATGTAGGTGCATATAATATTTATGCGGATATATTTGTAAATTATTTATTTTGCATAGTCGCAGATTTTTTTTAGTTAAAGGCCTTCCACATTTTTTATATTGAGTATTTAAATAATTAATTGTATATTATAAATAAACTTTATTCATTCACAATTGGCATTACAACTTAAGTCTGCGACAATGTAATTTAAATTAACTAGTATTTCTAATACTTAAAGCCAAATGTAAATATAAACTTATCTCTTAGTATTCTTCTGTATATTTTCAGTTTCAAAAGTAGCAGTTTTTTTTTATTTGTACCTTTGTTTTCTTCATTACTATAATAATTAATTAATTAAACACTCAAATTACTGCTCATTACAGGTCGTAATGGTGGTAAGGCACAAAAAGAAATGACTGCCGTAACAACCACCCCAACACAGGCCAGCAAAATCGCTGAGGGCGATAAGGATACCGCCTCCGTGGCTAGCACAAGCGCTGCTACATCGGCCACAGCTTCACCGACAAACGCGAATTCATCGCCAACAACTGTTGTGGTAACCACTCCACTTTCGATTACAAATCCAAATGCTTGCGCCAGTCAAAATGCGCTTAACGATCCAAATCACTGGAGTAAGCAGGAGAAATTTGATGCTGACGCATTTCTGGAATGTGCTTATAAGAAACATTTGAGCAGACACGCGAATAAGTGAGTCGTGTGGAATCGAAAACTTTTTTGCCCAAATTACTATAGAATATTTCTACTAATGTCGTTACTATTTTATTCTTTTTTCTCTCTCTTTCCTTTATATGTGCTATGATTTATGTACGCTGTTATGGTTTTTTGGGTTTATTGTATTTAATTTTTAATTTTGTTTTTCATTTTTGTGTTTTATTGCATTGTTATTTTTTTTTCGAATATGTTTTCAGAGTTCTACTGCGCGTGCGTATGCTCTATTACATACAACATGAGGTTATTGGCGATCTAGTGCAGCAAATCAAAGAGAATACACCCGTCAGGTATTATAAAATTTGTGTTAAATATTTTGTATTGCATAATTAACTACTTTCCGTTTCATATCATTTAAGAGTTTTCATTTTGTAACTATTCATTTTTTTCTTCTCTATTTGAAATATTTTAGTTCTAATTAATTTTATGAATTTGTTTTTTACTTCATATTCATTGATTGTTGCGCTCTGCTGTTTATTTCTCGGTGGAGATTTTTATATTTATGCAATGAGAATTCCAACTATTAAGCCTTTCGATATAATGCTTCTTTCTATGCGTTTTCGCTGTTTCTTGTTACTGCTTATCAACAATATTATTTTAGAATAAAGCTTTATTTTTCAAATTTTTAATTTATGATTGCATTAAAGTTTTGGCTAAGCTCAGTCTCAAAATCGCTTAAGTGTAAATAAACTAAAATGCTACATCACAAGGAAGTACTTTGACAAACTTATAAATTAAAAATATTAAAAATTGACATAAATATTTTCACTTATTTAACGGGTATCATCTGAAAGCATGGTGGTTTAGGATATACCCGGAAAATATATGTACCTCATTTTTAACATATATATTTATTATACTTTTCTCATACATACATACTACATAAATCTGTTATAATTTTCAGTACTTTAACGCTCTTTAATCACTTTAATCAACAAACACAATACGTGTATGTATCATGATGATTCCTCCTTTATTCTCTATGTTTGCTTACAATATTGTTCGCTCTACATTAGTTTCTACATGTATTTTCTGTGTGTGTGTGCCATTTGTTCTCTCCGTATTAATGTACATATCTACAATTTGTTGCTGTGGTTTACCATATATGCGTTTGAAATATTGTTTATAGTACATGTACATAATAATGTCACTACTACTAATACTACTACTATATGACCATTACTTCGATTGCTATTAAAATACAATTTTAAATGCTAATTAGATCAATCGCTTTCATACAATTCCTTTAATACATACGTACTAACATACTATACATGTCTTATCAGTCGTACGCTAAATTAGTCTATCATTAACTGAAACAATAAACTTTTTTTATTCAACGTGAAAAAAAAATTCAACATTATAGCTATCGCGCCTTCTCTCAAACTGAAAATAACACAAAAAGGTAATATGAAGTTGAAGAGTAATAATAATGAAATGAGAAGTGGAGGAAAAATATGACAGGCGAAAAGGGAATTCGAAGCTACACATTGTGTTGTTCAATTAATTTTCGAAGTTTAAAAAAAAAAAATTTTTAACGTTTAATTTCAAATAGATTCGGAATTTGAAAAAAAAAATAAAAGCTCATTGCATTAAAATTATTTGAAAGTATTTGGCTTGGTAGTACTTTTAGTTTATATTCTTAGATACATTTTCGAACTTTACGTAGTATTTATAAATATACAAATTGGCTATGAACTTTTGATTTTGTTGTTGCAAAAATATAATTTTATTTTTCGCTTTTGTTTGCCTAGTATTTTTTTCTTGTTTTATTAAGCTTTATTTTAGTATATTGCGTCTATTAACTTTTTTCAAAATTTATTTATTATTTTTTTATTTTAATGTTTTGCTCTTTCGTTTTCCTTTTTATTTTTGTTTTTTTTTTTTTTGGTTTTTGAATTTACTTATATCAAAAACTTGCATTCTCGCCTTGTTTATAAATTACAATCAAAAATTTATGTTATACCTGTATATACTATGTAGCGAGCTCCCCATTCGCCCGCCCGCAACGCCCGATCAAGTGCCAGCATCATGGTGGAATCCCGCTTGCTGTGATAAGAGTCTTTTGGTCGGAACATACAAGCATGGATGTGAAATGTATCGTCAAATACGTGCCGACCCCAATTTATGTTTCGTGGGTCATGTTGGTGCCGGCGACGATACGGCTGTGACAAATTTGCCGACGTAAGTGTAAAAAAACAACGATTTGCATATGTACATGCATACATATTATAAACATTTACCATATAATGTACATACAAACACACATATAATATAACGTTATTACAATCATAAGCAATAATAATTAATTTAATTATAAAATTATATCGCACAATTGTAATTGTGCGGCCATATATTGATTTTTTTTTATATTTTATACCTGATACACGAGAATATGGAAAACACATTTTTTTAATTCTTTTCGCTCTACATTAGTAGACATATTTTTTCATACTCTACTCGAAAACGGGTATTTGTTAGAAGGTCCACTTTTTCGTTTCCTTCACATTGTTCAAATGGTGCTTGGGCATATATTTTTTAATAAAACCTGACACCTGACTATTGAAAATATCCGTATTTTAAAATGTTTTCCTTGTTGTTGTTATAGTAAACGCAAAAATAATTCCCAACTTGATTTTCGGGGAATATTATGACGGTGACAGTCATTGGCCGGATAAAAACCCGGGTGGTTCGGGATATAAAGACCCGACCCGCTTGGGAACTATTGGATTTTAGTCGCCTCTTACGACAAGCATGCCAAAGGGAGGCCAGCCACTAGTCTGGCTGAGTTTGCAGAAATCAATAATTAAATTTTCTTTTCCTTATATTTCTGATGACTCAAATTTTGACTGTTTTCGTTGCTCTTGCCGAACTCCTATTACCTCATATACTTCTTTTCGATATTTCACCGTCAAAACCTTAATAGAATATGAACACATCAATGTCATAGATCTGTTTTATTCATTACCAGTACTTCATCTAAATATTTAAGACTTACATAGGGTTCATACGTTATACATATATTACGTTTTTTTCATGAAATCACATATATATATGTATTTTAAAAACAATTTATGAAATCAATAGAATTTTCTAAAATTTAAGTTCGTTGTAAACTCTGTTGACAAGCTCTCGATGTTTTTCGAAGTGTTATGCATGACTTAATGTAATTACATATACATACTATATAAATATATATGCATATTTTAATAAAAAAGTAAAATAATATTAATTTAAAGTTTACATATTTTTTTAATTACTTAATTTCTATATATTTCTCTATCGCTATTAAAGTAATCTATCTCACTGCCACAGAAACGAAGACGATGCAAATTCAAAGCACGAAGATGCCGAAGAGATCGATGACGATGGCACAACGACCAAAGACTCTGATTCCACCACTAAACTTACAACAGGCGACAACAAAGATTCACTCGATCCCGAGCGTCCCAGTTCATCGGGTAAGAGTAATAAAAAACAACGGGCAAAAAGCGAAGCCGCTGACGTTGGTAGTGTTGGTGTCGTCGCTGCGAATACTGTGGCTACTGTCGACGGTACCGCCGGTGATACAACAAATAATAAGGATGCAACAATCGAGAATGAAAGTGATAAAGAAAAAGAAACTCTTGAAAATCAGACAAATGATGATGATATTATTCAAAATTCAAATGAAAAAGATGAAACATCCAAAACCGAAGCACTAAACGAAACTAGTGATGCGGACGCCACCGTTGAGAATGTTGAAAATGAAGTGACAACAGCGACAACAGATGGTGTTTCGTCATCCACCACAACTGTGGCAAACAAAACAGATGCAACAGTTGCGATGGACATCGATACTACCGATGCCGATTTAATAATAGCCGATACTAAATCGGAAACTGACACCGATGCCACCACTGTTGCCACTGTTGGTGGAGATTCAACTTCAGCTGATACAACGGCGGCCTCAACATCAACCGCATCGCCACCACAAAATAGTGGCGAAGATGCAATCGCACAAAACGCCACCGCTAAGAGTGACGTTGATACTGAAATGAAGTCGGAAAGTGAAACACCGATCGGTCCTGTCGATAGTGCAACAGCCACCACCAACACAATTACTACCGCCACTGAAAATGCTACTGCAGCAGGCAGCAGTGATAGCACTGCTGCAGCTAATAATGCTTCTAATACTTGTAATGAACAAACGCAAAATGACACTCTTAATTCGACCACCGTAGGCTTAGATGAGGAAGAAAGTGTTGCTAGTAGTTATCCACCGACGACTATCGCTGTTGAAGATGCCACAATGTGGCCATCTATGCAAGATTTGAATACACGTTTGAGGCGTGTCATAACGGCTTATCAACGTAATTATAAGAAAGAAGAATTAAAGCAACAACAAAAGGCGAAGGTAAGTGAAACAATTTCCAATATTTATGTGTTTTATACAATCCTTACTTACAAGTCAAATTATATCATATATGAGTCCATCATAGTCGGTCAGTTTTTTTTTTTTTTTTTTTTTTTTGTCGAGACGAAATCGTTTCACGTTATAACGAAGAAAAGAGTACTAAAAATTACAAAAAAAAAAAAAAAAAAAAAAATAATTAAGAAATGTATATCTAAATTAAGGTAAAAGCAGAATCTAACGAAAGTTGCACTGTTGACAATGCGTACTATATATGTATATGTATATTTGACTACTTTGTGGTACATCTATCCTATTTAAAAATGTAGTGTAACTTTTGTGTCAATGTTTTTATTATTCAAAATTGGGTAGTACTCTTTTGGATTTGGCTGTAAATGTTTTTTAGTTACTTAAAAAAAATCGATTATTTTCAAGCAGATTATTTTTAAATAGATGAAATAGTTTCACGCAAATGTATGTCTTCTGAAGATTTGTATTATGAATAAACTGAGGAAAGGCCAAGAGCTTAAATAATGTTAACTTGATTAATACGGCGTTATTTTTATTTATTTAGAAGAATTGCATATTTTGAGATAAAAAATGGTCGGATGTTTATTGCAATGTCGAGATATGCCGTTAATAATGGAAACCAATATCAGACGAGCCATAATTTCGGTGCTTGTTTGGCATGTAGCGTCGTGTTCTTGAAAGTAAGCTTTTTGTTCAGATCAATACCGACCAAAACCGGTTATTTAAAATAATGAATAATTTCACGATAGCATAATCCCTTCACTGTTTCTTCAGCTTCATTTTTGAAAAAGTAAAGTCTAAGACCCCGCCGGACCATAAACTGGACCAAACAGTTACACGTTCGGTATGGGGAGGCTTTTCAACAATAAATTTTAGGCTTTCAGAGCCCTAGATACGAAAGTCATTGACATATGGCGTAATGATGTTTATGGAATGCCATATTCCAAAAAACGGCGAGGAATGGACAAATCTAGGTTATCTTCAAAACTTTGACCTACAGCAGCTATATTCTCATTTCTTTTTGACGACGTGCGGGTGTTTTATTCTTCAAATCACCAACTCCAACTCAAATAACAAGCTCCATTTTTTTCAACAATTTCTGTTTTGCGATCCGACAAGGTGCTTCATGACTATCAAAAAATGTTTTTGTTTTACGAACTGGCACTGCCAGGTTTTCATCATTTATATATGGTGAATTTTAATGATTTCAGTGCGTATTTTCGTTATCATTTTCAACGTTCTAGCATCTGCTCACTTATTTTTTCCATACAAGCACGTTTTCAAAAATTTTTCACCTGCAATTCTTAATTCTAAAATTTATTTTGGCAGTGTTCAAATAATTCAGATGACGAATAAAATTGATGAAAAATGACAACTCGATATAAATGTCAATGTAATGAGTTTTGAAATAATATACAATATAATATTTTAATTACAAATACCAGGAACACCATTGGCAACCCATTCCAACCATTCTTGTTTGCGATCTTAATAATCATGACCTTTTTAAATGTAAAATCCTGCGGTGAAGTAACAGTAGGTAAAAATATCGTAAAAAGTAATACTTTAACTTTTTCAATACGACCTTTCACCAGCGATGATACTTCCACATAATGGAATTACTATGCATTGTTTCAGAACTATCTTAATATAATAATAATCATTGTTTGAGCAATTTATATTACCATAATAACATCAAACGTTTAAGTCAAATTGTCGAGGAAGTTTTGAAAATGAAGTAATTTTTATAATTTGAATACACGTAGTTAAAAAAAAAAACTCGGGCCTCTAGCAGAACATATCTTATTGCGTGAAACTATTAGAAATCTGTAGTTAATTCATTATTATTTCAGTATTTGTTTTCTAAATAACTAGTTATTGAAATGTATATTTGAATTGTTATAAATATATTTTTAAATATATTAAAAAAAAACCAAAAAGAAAATTTGAGTTTTATAAACTCAATTTCAAGCTTCCCGAAGTGAAGTTTACCTAGAGTATTTCCATATTGAATTTTTTTTAACTATACATACATATGTATTTACACATAAAAAACGTGCCTAAAAAACCACAAATATGCGCGTTAATTACATCAAATCATCAACCACATTCAGTGTCCACCAACAACATTTCCGATCATTTGAAGTGAAATCAATATTGAAATTGTATTTTTATACTCCAAATCGCCACCTCCTTTCTTCCTTTCTTTATTGTATGCAAAAAAAAAAAAACAAAAAAAAACATAAATACAAACACATTTAGCTACAAGCACTGGTCTCGTCAACACCGCCATTATCGGTGCCCACAACGCCAACTCTACAATCCATGCAAATGCAAATGCAAAATGCTGCTGCCTCTGCTGCTGCTGTTGGTGGTGGCAGTGTCAATGTCGGCGGCGGTGGTGCAGGGGTCGTTAGTGGGACGACTACCCAACTACAGCAAAGCAATATTGTCGAACCGGGCAATCGCAGTTTACAAGCACTTATTCAACAACAACAACAAAACCCGAATGTCACTGGTGGCAATGTTGCCGGCGGCGGTGGTAGTGGTGGCAGACAAACACCACAGCAACTATCAACAGGTGCCAGTACATCAGCGGCGGCAGCTGCCGCAGCCGCAGCCGCAGCAGCAAATGCCGGTTCAAATGTTGTTAATATACCGAATATTGGTCAAGCGATGACAAGTGTTGGTGGTCAACAGCATCATGCTCAATCGCTGCAGCACACTCAGCTTAATGCGTCACAGACACAGCAACAGCAGCAGCAACAACAACAACAACAACAGCATCAGCAACAGCTTGCAGGACAACAACAGCAACAACAACAAAGCATTGCTCATCAAAACCAACAGCACCAACAACAACATCATCAGCAGCAGCAGCAGCAGCAGCAGCAGCAACAACAACAAGCAACAGCATCAACATCAACAGCAGCCGGCACGATAGCAGCACAAATGCCCACTGCCGCCGATATTGGATTAATGTTGAGCTTCCTAAATACGACCGATGTCAGTCAGTTGGCGAACTTGGATCTGAACAAACTGGCCATGTATTTGGTTAGTATGAACAATGTAATGATCGCCAATTTTTCTCAATATTTTATTATTAAATATTAAGACATCATACTACAACAGCTACATACAAACAACAACCAAAAAACCAAACTCATTCACAAAATGCGCTGTTTTAAAAACAAATTTTTACCATTTACTCACCAACCTGCTCCTTACTCATCTCAACAATTGCTAAATACATACCTATATAGAATCGCTCAAAACGATTTCGTGGTGCTAAGATCATGTAAATAGCTGAAACTAAACCATAACTGCAAGCATAAATGTGTGTTGTGTTTAAATTAACTGCAAATATATATATATATATATATAATTAAGTTTTATTAATTATTTTACAACCAGATGAAAAGAAGTTTAATTGTAAATGTCGCGTGGTTGGAAGGACCAAATCTTTAACATACACGATAACATATATAGAAATTTTATGAAATAATTTCAAGGTTGCGTACTAAAACTGCTATGTTTTTAGGTTCATATGTATTTGGAGCATTTTCTTCCACCTATTATGTTACGGAGATACCTTTATAAATATTGTCAATGCAATATTGCCTTTGAGTGCTTTGCATGGTTCTTACTTCAAATTCGCATTGATATTTTTTTTGCTTTTTTTGCATAAACTTTTTTTTTTTTAATTTAATTTAATTAGTAAAAATTATAAAAAGATAAAACATTTTCGGCCAAACATATATCTAACATATCTTCCGTACAGTATACACGTATATTATATATATTATATGAAGTATATATTTTTTTAATTTCACTATTATTTGCACGACTTTTATTTATTTATTATATTTTATTAATTTTTTATGAGATTTACCACCTTGAAAATGTCTATTTTTCAGCAAACTTATTACTTATATACAAAATGTGGTTTCGTGTTATAAAAAAAGTGTCTAATTTGTTGGAGAAAAGTTTTATATTTTTACCCACAAATTAACTTTTAAGAATTAGAAAAATATTGAGTCCTCTTGATTATATGAACCTGTAAAATAATTTTAGAAATTTTTTAACAATTTTTTCTATTCGCCTGCATTTAAACCTCATTAGTTCTATGTCAAAAAAAAATTACATTTTCACGTTACTCGAAAGAATTTTATTTGTACATGAAATAGTATATTAGATGACTTTGATTCTAAGTATAAAGTATCAGAATGAAAAGAGATAGACTATCAAAATGTATGCCGATCGTGTTGTAAATGAGTTAAGTTGAGTTGAGTGACCATGGCAAACTTCCTTTAGTTTTTGAGATATTTCAACCAAACTTGGTACGTTCATTTCGCGGTACCGTCCACATACATACGTCGGATTTTTCAAACTTGAGATTTTGGGTCCTAAAATTTTTCCAAGAAAACATCTAATTTTAGCAGTGAAAAAAAAAAATTGCTATCGGGCGACTATAAGTTAAAGTTCCCATATACCGATTTTTTCTGCTATAAGGTTTTGGTTAATACCACATCATAAGTGTTATATATTCTTATTTAAAAATAAACATTTTCACCGAAAATCATCGAAATCGTAGAACTATATCATATGGTCCCATACAACCGAATTGTTCAGATATAAGAAATTTGTTCTAAAATCAGTCAAAAAATCGACTACTAACGTGTGAGATTCGTTATTTTACAAACGTAAATACAAATAAACAATGACATCGAAAATCTTCGAAATCGGTAAAGTTCATTATAAAACCCCCTCGAACCAATTTTTCAGATATGATAATTAGTATTTAACCTTAAAAGGAAATAACATAAATTTGAATAATGGTCATGAAAGGCATATCCTTGTTTGAGTTAATTTTTCAAGCATCAATTTTTTTATTCCAAAGATTTGACTATAAATAATTTTGCCGTTATCATTGTTAAGAGCCATACAGCCCTAGTCGGGCCGTGACTGACGGC